CCATCACTTCTGCAGTCTGTGAAGTACATAATCCATCTGTTTTTCCTTTTAACTGCTGCTGTTGCTTGCTTGCTTCCTTCCTTCCTTCCTTCCTTCCTTCCTTCCTTCCTTCCTTCCTCCCTCCCTCCCAGCATGCCTTCCCCCTCCCTCTCCTTCCTTCCTTCCTTCCTTCCTTCCTTCCTTCCTTCCTTCCTTCCTTCCTTCCTTTTTTCTTTTAGTTGTCCAGGCTGACCTCAAAACTCAGTTCTACTGCCTCAGCCTTACCAGTGCTGGAATTGGAGTACATGTAATCATACCCAGTTTAAATGTGTCTTTTTGAAGAGAAAGAAAAGTGTCAATATGGCTTAAACCATTCATTGATTTGTTGGTTAATTTTGTATGAAGTAGACTGTGTATGTTGCCCACAAGCCAGGCAGCTTCAAGTTCTTCATGACACCCAGAGAGCTACTTGGTAAATGGCGAAGAGGAAATTAGTGACTTTGTTTAGAAAGTTACTATGACTTCTGGCTATATATTCTTCTCTTTCTTAAGGTTGAAGTTCATGATAATAGCTAATTTATGGTGAACTTGAATGCTTTAGGAATTTAGTTCAATTTTTTAAAAAATAATTCTATTATTTTTATTTTATGTGTACAAGTGTACTACTGCCTGCATGTATGTGAGTGCACCCGTGTCCTGCAATGCCACGAGGTCAGAAGAGGGCTTTGGATTCCCCTGGAATTGGAGTTAAGGACGGTTCGTAGCTGCCATGTGGGTGCTGGGAATTGAACCCAGGTCCTCTGCAAGAACAGTCAGTGCTCTTAACTGTTGAGCCATCTCTCCAGCCCAGAATTTAGTTCAATGTTACACTTTACTTTTCAGGAGCTAATTTTATTAGCCTCCAGAATAGCAGGAGAGCACGTCAATGAATTGAGTACAATTTTATTGATTTCTATAAAATATTTGATAGGCCTAAATTTTTCTTTTCATTGTATACAGTCAAGATATGAAAAACAATGTTCTATGATGTAGAATTACTTGTATATCTTGTAAATTACTTTCTAGCTTTGCTTTACTCAATGGCTAGACGTTTTCCCTTGTTGAGTGATGATAGCCATGTAGAATTTAATAGCTGATTGCATTTCTAAACCTCAGACCTTATCTAGTAACATTTAAAAATAATATCTGAAAACAGTTTTCTTTTTGAAGTCGACATTTGTTTTACAAGATTAGTTTTCAGGAATATGCTATGTTTGTCACTCGTGAGTTATTCAGGTTATGGAGACCAAAAACATATCAGCCATTTCTTGTTTTTCAAGAAATAGTATCTTCAATCAAATACTTCGAAAGTAATTTGAATAAAAATAGTGACACAACTTTATCTAAACACACACATATATACAACACTTCTTTCTTTTCTTTTTTTTTTTTTTTGGTCTTTTTGAGACAGGGTCTCCCTGTAGCCCCAGCTGGCCTGGAACTCACTATGTAGTCTAGGCTGGCCTTGAACGCACAGAGATCCACCTGCCTCTGTCTCTCAAGTGCTGGGACTAAAGGTGTACGCTACCATGCCCAGCTTAGAATGCTTCTTTGCTTTTTTAAAAACATCTTAAGTGTTAATTTTCTTGATTAGTTACTCTCAGGTGATATAGAAGTTGAACAGTAGCAAATTTTTGTGTAGTTAGTTCATGTGATATTAGTATTCATGCAGCGCTGCTTTTGATCTTGGATGTAATCCCTTATAATCACAAACTTTAAAGAACATTAATATTATACATTCTAAATTGAGTTATTTTGCATTAGTAAAAATACAGAGGATTAAGAAAGACATTATATAATACTCATGTTTTTATTTTTTTCCTTGTTTAAATTTAGCTTTGTATTTCATATTTTGAGCTTTGGTTGTTTATATACAAAAGGGTCTCATTATGCAGCCATGGCTAGCCTGGAAATCTCTGTGTAGGCTTGCCTTCTTAAACTTAACAAAGATCTACTTGCCTCTGCATCCTGAGTGCTTGGATTAAAAGCATGCACCACCATGCCTGACTGGTAATTCATTCCTTCCTTCCTTCCCTCCCTCCTCTCTCCCTTCCTTCCTCCCTTCCTCCCTTCCTCCCTTCCTGCCCTTCTTGCCTGCCTGCCTGCCTTCTTTCTTTCTTGCTTTCTTGGTAATTTCTTTTTAATTATTGTAACATATGTAAAGTTATAGATTGTTTGATTCAGCCTGTTTTTTATTTCCTCTAATACATTTTGAAAGTGACTTTTTTTATCTTATGAAATCAGACATTAGTGGATCAAAATGAATCTTCTCATAGGAATAGAAATATTGTTTATAGGATTTTTCATATATCTCTTCAGTGTTCTAGTTGGACTCTTTTCTTTTTTGCAAACTTGAAATCATATCTTCACATTTTATGATACTATTGAGAAAATACACAGGTTAATCAAAACGCCATTAAAGTTATACTAAAGAAATAGGCCTTTTTAATTAGCCATGATTGTTTATATAAAATAATGGTACTCACAGGCTTTCCTGGGTTATTGTTACGGTGCTCTGCTGAGGCTCCATTTTTGACTTACTAATATGCTGGAGCTTTAGTAAAACAATATTCTCTCCAATGACTTTGCAATACTGATGATGGTAGTCTATGGAAAGTTTTGTTTGAAACAGTTTTTTTTGTACTGAGTTATAACTCATTATAGAAACAGTTTATATAAGAAATGATTTCGAAGTCATTACAATATTAAACCAATGAAAATTTTTGTGACAACAAATCTTATAGTTTGGTTGATTGTATTTCTGTAGTTGCATTATTCAAAAGTACTAAAAATTGTTTTTGATATTGTAATAATGCTAATAAAAGAATCTGTAGTTTATTGTACTAAAGTTTGTATGGGTGAAATAAGTGGTTTGGGTCGGTGAATAAACTTAGCAGAATTTTATTGGTCATATGTCTGTAGAAGTTCATTATTCTTTCACTTCATTTGTATGTGTCTACTGGGTAGCCTTGTAAAAATCAGAGAGAGGTTACCTAAAAGAAGGATTGGGAAATAATTGTGTGATAGGTTCAGTTTGTTTGAGATGATGTAAAGTTTTGGAGATGGATATTGATTGATGATAGCCAAGCATTGTGAATGTACTGAGTTGTACACAAAATAGTTAAAATTAATTCTGTACTTTACAGTGATTAAAAAGTCAATAGAAAGAAGTCACTAATAGCTACATACTCCAAGAATAATCTTAGGGAAAACCTTTGAGGACATGGTAGTGGGTGAGGGGAGAATGAAAAGGGAAGAGCATGAGCTGGGCACCAGGTGTTGTCAGCTGGTGGCTTCTGCAGGGCAACATTCATACCTTTAGTATTGAAGGATACTAACTCTTCTGATTTGCTAGAGAGCACTTTTTTTTTTTGTTCCTCTCACCTTTTTCTTCTTCATTGTGGAAAGGAAGGACAAGCACTCATGCTATATAAGTACACTGTCAGTGGAGTGTAAGTTAGTGTGTGTGAGGTAGGCTTAGTGGGCTGCTACTGGCATTTTAAAGTTAGAAAATATCAATTAGAAAATACATTATGCACAGTAAATGTAAATGTGATGATCACATTTTTGTTTCAGTTATATAATGTGTGTGGTTGCCGTGTACTATTTATTCCTTAGAGTGGCATTTATTTCTTTTTTTAAGGAGTAGTATGGAGGATTGGTGCCCGTGTAGCTACTAGAAAGTGGATGACAAAATTTGGGCAAAGGATCTTAGACAATAACTCAGCGTTTCATCCTATTTTCAGACATTAGCCAACTAGTAAGATGGGTTGATTAGGAAGACCCAGCAAGGCTTGTAGTCTATTAGCATATGATGAATCAGCCATGTGCAAATAGATAGGATGATGGCTAAGATATGCTGATCTCATTTTTGAGTCATTGTTTGTGAGAAATATTAATTTGGAATGATTCAGAACTTTATGAGGTAGGTCCTGGTAATATGTTTATTTGTAGAACTTGAATATAGAGGTTAAGTAAAGCTCTCTCTGATTTAAACAAATATTATTTTTGTTAAGTATTTGAAAAAAAGATTTGTAAAAGAGTAGGTATTTATTTAGCCGGCTGTGGTGGTGCACATCTTTAATCCTAGCACTTGGGAGGCAGAGGCAGGTGGATCTTTGTGAGTTCAAGGCCAGCCTGATCTACAAAGCGAGGTCCAGGCCAGCTGGGGCTACAGGGAGACCCTGTCTCAAAAGACAAAAAAAAAAAAAAAAATTATTTTTACATTGAAATTATCCATAATGCATCTTATTCCAGAGAAAGGGAGAATTGTTAATAGTATTACAATATAAATCCAGTTATAACTGAAATGAAATTCTACTATATTTATTTGTTGGTGAGATAGCTTGGAAAAATTTTCTAACTGTTTTGTGAAATTGTATCATGATGCTTTAAGTAAGCGGTTTATATAAATGTCTGGAATTTCATGCTCAGCAGATACTTGCTATTAATGTAGGGCCCTCTTTCACCTTTACATTGCTCATTCTTCTAGATTTTATCATCTTAATTGATCTTTCACTTTAATTTGGAGGCAAATGGGATTACCTTTTTTTGTGTTGAGATCAAGAACATGTATTCAAAAGATATGCTGTTTACGCAAGAGAAAAATCATACGTGCTCTTTCTGTTCTGGAAGTACTCTTATTTCCTGAAATAATGTAATGAAGAGTGAGTGAATTATTTTAGCAATCTTGTTCTGTTGGGGGGAGAGTTTATGTAATACTGAAAGAAGAGTTGAGAGGTTCTTTAATAATCTTACCTAGCACTGAACTGTGTATAGATTGCACTTATATTCCTTATGTTTAAGGTGATTATTTTCAACTCTGATATTTTATGATCTGAAATGTATCAAATATATTGGGATAAACATATATCTTTAACTGATTAGTCTAGTTTGATTTGTCTAAAAAGGGGCTGAGTTTTATGGATTTGAATGATAAGTCACTGACAGGAGGTCTTCAACATTTTTTTCCTTCTGAACAGATGTCTTGGACTGCAGTGACTCCAAATTCCATAATCTTTCCAATTTTCCCATCTACTAAGTAAGTTTCAAAAAAGTGACATTTTTATTGTACATGATTGACTTAATTCAGGCAAATATTGCAGCAGAGTAAAAACTTTATCCCGATGAGGAATACTTTAGTATTAACAAAATGTTAGATTCTTTATTTTTTACTTTTTAAGAATTTAAGGCTTGATTTTTCTCAGTATCTGTTTTCAGAATAATAAGCTCAAGCTTACAACCAAAGTAGAGAACCCAAGGCTCTGTGAGAAAGCTAGAGCCATAGTACATGTTCTGGTTTCATTCTGTTGCTGTAATAAAACATCCTGACCAAAAGAAACTTCGAGGAGGAAAGGGTTTATTTGGCTTAAGTAGGAATTCAACTGCTAGTCACATCATATCCACATTCCAGAGCAGAGAGAAATGAACCCACTCATGTTGCCTGCTGTTTTGTGCTTATACACTGCTAGTGTGCTTCACTCTTACACAAGGGCAAGGGTCCTTGGGGAAAATAATTGTCTGTAATACTGAGCAACGCAGGCTGAGTCTAGGGAATGGATCTGAAAGCAGTTTTGTTGACCACTTCAACAATTATGTTGCTATTGTATAGTATTCATCAGTATATGTGTGTGTGTGTGTGTGTGTGTGTGTGTGTGTACGCACTAGCTATTAAGAAGACTATTGGGTGCACATTATATTTTTAATCAATGAAAAGAAATAATTCTTTGAAAACTAAAATGAAGATTAGCATTTAAGTTCAGATGTTTATTGACTAGATTTGTGAGACTTATGAGGTGAATAGCTATAAAGATGAAAATTGGAAAGCAATAATATTTTTTTAAAAGGTAATTTTAATTTTGCTAAAATGTCCAATGAGTTAGAGATGTGCTGGTGGGTTTGTAGGAACTTGAGGAGAGATTAAATCAGTTTTATCTTCATGAGATGCTTTCAGTTGGATAGGAAACTTGGCTATGCTTTGAAGGACTGATTGGTCAGAGCTGACAAAGGTAGGGGAAGGGACTTTGCTGGGATGAGGAACATCATGAACAAAGGCACAAAAGCCTAAAAAGAATCTAAAGCTGGGTTTTGAAATTTGGATCAGGTCACTTGCTGGCGTATCAGGTTTGTGCCATATAGAATCTTAGGACAGGATTGGAGAGCCAGGGAGAGGCCAGGTTATTTTTTGTCTCAAGCAGACTGAGATCTATTTGAAATGGGTAGAGTGGCCTGGTTAACTTGTTTGGGCTTTCTCTTTCCACAGTGAAAGAAGAGTTTAGGAGACTGCTAAACTTCAGGGAGGAGAACAGTTAATACGTCATAACAGTTCAGGTAGTGGAGGAGTGGTGGGCATACATTCTCAGTAGTTTCTTCTTTTTATGTCTTAAGTTACACATTTAATCTAAGTGCCTTCTAGTGTCAGGCCTTTCAGTCCATGTCCTTTCAAACATTCTTCTTTATGTTGTTTGGAAGTTCAGAAAAATTAAATAAGGTGACTTTGAAATAAAGAACAGGCAAATGCTATTTGTTTTCAAATTTCACATGCCTTCTTGGATAATCTGACATTTCCCCTTGGGAAAAAAAATCATTGTAATAGGGCTAGAAACAGGAGAGAGTCCTGCTTACTAGAAACAAGAATGAGAAAAATAATTGTGATTTTGTATTCTCTATAAGTTTTGGAAGGGTGGTTTTCTGGAGCTAGGTGACTTCTATGTTACAGAAGTATGTTAGGATGCAGTAATACATAGGAATTTGAGAACATTTTCCTGTATTTTGTAATGAAGCTTCTGATATTGAAGAGTGACAGATTTGCAGTGTGACATTTAAGTTTAGTAAATATATCTTTTAAATCCTACACTTGAATGAGATCCATTTCACAAACTGATTTTAATGTATATTCTCTAATTTATTCTGATAATACATGTGAGATATAGGTGTTATTAGCCTGTCTTATTTCCCCATACTCTCTTT